TTTAAACTTATTTGATAAGTTGTTCAATTTAGAATTCAAATTAATTTAAGTTTGACTTAAATTGGAATTTGAATTTGAGTCAAAATTGGACTACAGGATAAATGATGATTTTCTCTTTCTTCCCTATCTGATATTGGCGCCTACACAGGGATAAAATTCCCTTAGAATGGCCGGCCATAAGGGATAGAGGAAAAGAGGATATTTTGTTCAAAATTCAAATAGGAGATAATTGACAAGCTTTATCTTGGAGATAGAGATTGGATTCATTCTAGAAGTTTGACTTCTACTCTATAAATAAGAGGACAATAGAAAATTACGCGAGTCAATTTTTGAAAGAATTTTTCAGCCCTAATTGTCAATGCTAGCCGAAATTCTCTTTGTAGAGAGGAAGGACAAATTTTTTTTTCTCCAAAAATTCCACATCGTGCATGCGTTGGTGTTTGTGGAAATTTGAGTGTTTATTGTAACCCGTTTTGTCTCATGTGTGCCCACACACATGTCTTTGTGGATTCTAAGAATTGACGTGGAAGACATTGGTTTTCTAAACACAAAGCTTTGGAGCAAGGATTGTTCGAGGTCAAACAACTCAAGTTATCAACCGAGTCGGCCTCTAGGTATTTTTCCTAATTGAGTTCTTAATAAATGAGTTAATGAGATTAATTTATTCATGCATAAATTAATATAATCTATAGAGTATCTCAAAGGTTTTATGAAAATTTTTTTTATACACGATCCGCCCTTCCCCCCACGCTTCCGCGTCCGGATTCGATTCGGAGACCAACATCGCCCTGTAACAAAGACATAAACTCCATTGTCTTTTCATCCCTATAGCTCTAAGGGAGATATTGTTCATTAAAGATAGTTTCAAAGTGTTCCCAGGTCATTCCCGTAACATCAAGCATTCTCCTCACCTGCTTCCACCAAGTACTTGCTTGGCCTTCCATCTTATACACCGTGAATTCTACCCAATATTCCTCCGGCACTCCCATAGTGTTCAGGTGCTTCACGATAGAATCAAACCAGTACTCCGCTTCCTGAGGTCCTCCCTCACTATTGAATGTGAGGATAGGTCCACGTCTAAATTCACAGAAATAACTTTGCTTCCTATCATCGGCCGGTCGCTCGTTCTGAGCTCGAGTGGTCATCCCTTGGAAAGCAGCATACATGGCATTCATGAACTCTTGATTCTGTGGTGCCGGGTTGTTAACAGATCTACGACGCGTCGATATCTTCTTTAACTGAAAAGAAATTAGACTGTTTAGTGGATTCCTGATGTCACATATGTATGTACAATCATGTGGTTCCTAAACCTAAGGCTCTGATACCACTCTGTCACGCCCCGAAGCCGGGGTCTGTGACGTGGAGGCTCGATTAGGGGTTAAACATGATTAAGAATAAAATATTAAGGAAATTTCCAAACGAGCCCCACATTTCGCTGAAAATAAATTATAAGGAAGAGGTTTTAACTTTAAGCCTCTAACATCTTTCAGGGCTTCACCCACAGGATATGCAATATTGTACATACATGAACATGTAAATAACATTACAGACATCAACCACAGTATAGACATCCAAATATTTAGGGTTTACAGAATTTGTAATTCTAACATTCGTACACAGGGGTTAATATTTATACAATAAGGAAAACGTGAGCGAAAGGCCCAGTAGGATATATTTTGTAATAACTTTGTAAATAAGTAAATGAATAAATATAGATATTGAGTTCCAACACAACAGCTGGAACCTCACATCCTTTTTCTCAAAGGAAATATAACTGAAAATCTCCGTGTTACAGGCATCAGTAAGTAATTTATACTATGATAAATTACTTACACAACTACATGCACAAGCCATATCACTCCGGGCCGGGTTTCGGGTCCTACCCCTAAGGATGCACTCTCCACATCCTATCTAGGCCATCAGCCGGTTTACCGATTTGCAAGATCTCTTATATTAAAAAATCATTCATTAAACTTTATGAAACAGTTCATTATACTCCCCAGAACTACAACAAGCCATGGGGGTTAAAATGTTTTTCTTTTGCAAATATGTCATTTTTTTAAAATCTTTGCAAGGCCAAAATTCTTTTAAAAACAGGTTCACAGAGGAAATGGTAAGAAATCCTACCTCACAAATATCAAACCTAGCTAGCGTTACATTATTCCGGCTTTCACTTCCCCGAAACCCCTCAATCCGAGTCCTTAGCTAGCACTTATACAAAACCACACTTTAGGATCCAATTCTCATTCCTAAAGTAATTCAATACCAATTATACACTTTGATTTCCTATTAGTGTGCCATAATTCAATTACCGGTTTCACAAACCATTTCATGTTTCAAATCATCATTCCAAGGGTTTTCAATCTCAAAACATGGATTAAAGAAGCTAATCCATTAACTCTAGGTCCACAAATGAAGCTAATTTAGGTTCTCCTTGAAAACTGAGGTCAAAATAGCATTTTCAGGCAAAACAGGGTCAAACTCCGTGTACACCGATTGATCGGTGACAGAGCAGTGCAACACCACCGGTCAACCGGTGGTGTGCATTTCGATCGACCGCATAGGTCGACCAGTGGACTTAGTGTAGTCTGGTCGACCGCACAGGTTGACCTGTGAAGAACAGCAGGGCGAGGAAACTCGCCAAACCAGTCTGAAAACTTACAATTTCAGTTCCAAATCAAAATATCTCAAAGAAAAACCACTAGATTCGGGTTCTAAGTACTGAATCAAGTCAAAAGAACCCAAGATATCCAATTTCTACCATGGTTTTACTCAAAATCCATCAAAATCTATTTCGAACCAAAAATAAGTTTTTAAATCCGAAAAAACTTGAGATTCAAGAGAGGTTTTCAGAAATCTTACCTCAAATCCTTCTCTTGACATTGAAACTTCTTGAAATCCTTTTTTGCTTCAAAATCCGGTTGATTTGAGACAAAAACGGGAGAGAGAGTGTGAGGAAACGAGAGTTAGAGTGAAAAAAAATGAAGAGAGAGAGAATGCGCACGGGAAATAAAAGAAAGGAAGGAAAAGGAAAAGGAAAGAAAAAGGAAAAAGAAAAGAAAAGAAAAGACATGTGTCTAAATATTTAAAATGATAGTTCAGAAAATGTGCCCACACACACTTTTAGGTAAAAAAAAATGTAAATACTGAGAATATTTAAATTCCTTAGAATTATTTAAATTTACACGTCAGAAACATTTAATATCCAATAATTAATTAATTAAACCAGATTAGGCACACTAATAAATCTCAATTATCTTAATTAATCTCATTTAATTTTTCGGGGTGTTACAATGCTAGGAGATAGGACTGGTAATCTGGGTAGCGATCCGACGATACGACTCAAAATCCGCACGAAATTAGCAGGTTTTGGTTTACTATAAATGAGTTTAGGTCATAATCGAGTTGACACGATTAATAAATGAGTTTAGTTATGATTGATGAAGTGACACGATTAACTATAAGTGTTATCTGTAATCTAATGATATGTGATATAACATGAAAATTTATATGACATATTAAATACAAATAATGTGAATTTTAATATTTGTACGTAAAATTCATTTATTTTTCTTAAAGAAAAAGATAAATTAACCAATAAACATGTTAAACATGTCTTGACTGTGTTAAATAAATTATTATTATATTAGTTATTTATTCAATATATTAATTTAAACGAGTTATACGGATTGATATGATTAACACGATTAATAAATGAATCGTGTTTGGATTGATATTTTTGATATATTTAATAAATAAATCATATTTAAATTGATATTTTTTAACATAATTAATAAATGAATTGATACGAACACGATTCATTAATATGAATTGCCACCTTTAACTGGAGATCGAATCCGTGTCCAAATTTCATGTCGTTCAACTTAACCGTGTCATGTTTTTTCAATTTTTGAATTGGTAATTGTAAATTATGTTTAGCTGGCATTCACGAATAATTACCCCTTTTTGCCCTTTAGACGTGTAATTATTAGTTTGGTACTAGGTGTCTTACTTGTATAAGTATTTTTTAAAACTGAGTTGTACAAGTAGTAGATACATACAGAATACGTATATGTTAATATTAAAAAATTCACCAAAATTATTCTGGACAGTATACGGGTTAAAATCTAACCATGGTTAAGCATTTGAGGTGGAACGCATCATAAAAAAAGAGCACATTAGGGTTAACCAAAAAAGAGTTAAATATTAACCCAAGTTATGGTTTGCTATTTTTATTATTTATTATCATTAATTAATTTATTTCATTTTTATTTTTTTTCCAGTATTTGGGGGGTGCCTTTGAGAAATCTACCAATGTTCTCAGGGCCGTTTTTGACAAATGGTTATTGTACCTGGTGGTGATGGTCCTCTCAGATTCAAAATTCTTCAAGTCAGCCACTTTTTCTCTCCATGGGTAATTTCTATTTTTAATTTTTTAATTTTCGTTTTTCGTTTGTGGAAATTTTCATATTTTCTCCAAAGTAGTGTGCGTTTTTTGTGAAAGTCGGGAAATCTAGGGTTTCGATTTGCAAGTGACGAAATCCTGCGAAAATTTCATGGAAATTCGACCGTTGAGCTTCCTGTTATGCGAATCAATGGCGACCTTCGCGTTTGATTTTGAACTTTCAGGTCGTTCGAATCGGTGAATTCCGAATTTTCTGTGTTCGAAGAAATGAAGTTAGGGTTCGATTTGCGACATTTTGTGGGCATGTTACGTTTGATGTTTTCTTTTACTTGTTTATGATAATTTGGAGTGTTTTTTTTTTTCTAGGGTTATGTCGTAGCTCAGATTTGAACTGAAGTGTAGATTTAGAACTTGTGTGTAACACTGTTTCCATGCCGTGATTTTTATGGGTTTGGTTTTTAGATTAGGATAATGCAAACATGCATGGGAAATGATTTTTTGTTCCATATTTCTTTTCGCCGCGTAATTTTGATACTCCATGTAGTTGTTTGGGCATTGTAATTTTGTTTGAATTTTGGATTTGTGAATTTAGATTTTGGTTTTGAAGGTTGGCATTTCTAATTCTAGCCAGTGGGATTGTTGATCTACTGATATAATTATAACAAGAATAAGACTATTGTATTAGTTTTTGAAGGTGAATTTGTTGATTTTAGACTATGGAAAGATGATATGTTTTGAGATCCTTGTAATTGTGTGGGTCAAAAGCTTTTATACTTTTTTTTTTTCTTTTTTTTCTTTTTTTTTTAAATTATGAAACATGGAGGAAGAACATTTTTTAGTGTGACTTGAGGTTTGGTGTGAAGCCTCATTTTCTTTCTTTAAGAATGCAAGTTTATGTTTCTCATTGAAAAAGAATATGAATAATTTTTTTTAATAATGCTTTTAATACGCTTCGCCATATTCTAGATGTTTCATAGTTGACGGGTCTTGTCCTCTCACTGCTCCCTTTCTGGATCAGGTATTTGCCATTTGAAGATTGACCTCTTTGTAAGAGCAGGAGGTTCTAGAATCTGATACATCGGTTGAACTATTTCTATTTCTGATCGTAGCTGGCTGAAAGAATAGATATCGAGACGCATTGAATAATAATGGAGTGCAATAAAGATGAGGCAGCCAGGGCTAAGGAGATTGCTGAGAAGAAATTCACCGAAGGAAATTATGCTGGGGCTAAGAAGTTCGCGTTGAAAGCACAAAATTTGTACTCTGAGCTTGAGGGTTTGCCCCAAATGTTAACAACACTTGATGTATACATCTCAGCTGAAAATAAATTTAGTGGGGAAGCAGATTGGTATGGCATACTTGGGGTGAATCCCGTGGATGATGATGACACAATTAGGAAGCAATACAGAAAGTTGGCTCTCATGCTTCATCCTGATAAAAACAAGTCTAATGTCGCAGAGGGTGCATTTAAGTTGGTTTCGGAGGCCTGGAGTTTGTTATCAGACAAGGGCAAGCGACTAGCATACAATCAGAGGAGGAATTTGAGAGGATTTCAACAGAAAGTTCAAACCAAGACTGGGGGTCAATCGGCAGCACCCAATTCAAATGGCTTTCAACAGTTTACCAACAATGGAACTTCAAATGTAAGGACTCAACAAAGTAATAAACGGCCTGGTTTCACCTCAATCCCTTCACTTAAGAAGACAGATACCTTTTGGACTATTTGCAACAGATGCAGGACTCATTACGAGTATCTCAGGATTTATCTCAATCACACTCTCCTCTGTCCCAATTGCCACGAGGCTTTTATGGCTCTAGAGAAGGATCCACCACAAACGGCTTTTAAGCAATCCAATTGGTCTTCTCGCCAATCACATCAGAACAAGGGTCATGCTTCTGCAAGTAACAACCAGTTTAGTTCCGGGAAAAAGATTCCAGGTACTCAAAATGCAGAAGCTGGGGTGTCCACGGATGCTAATTCTCTCAACGGCAAAAACTTCCAGTGGGGTCCTTTCTCGAGAACAACTGGTGATCATAGCACAATTCCAACATCCTCTGCTGCTGCTCAAGCTGCAAGTGTGGTTCAGCAAGCAAGTGAGAAGGTTAAAAGAGAGCGAGAGGAAAGACAGTACACTGCTGAATGGGAGAAGGGTCACCTCTTTAAGGGGACGGCTAATCCTCCTCCTCAAGTAGACAGGCCATTGAAAAGGAGAAACCTGGAAAACAATCATCTGAATGGTTATAGAGGCTACGTGGCCAATGAAATGGCTATGGGGAATGGTGGAGCTAGTGCAGGAGGTGTATTTGAATTTAGAAAAGGAAATACTGAAACGAATAGGTTCTTCGGTACATCTGGTACTTATGTGAAGCCCAACACCGCGAGAGAGTTATCTTATCCTGAGATTAAAAATATGCTGATGTATAAGGCAAGAACTAAAATTCTCAGGAAGCTTGAGGAGTGGAGATCATTGAGTTCAAAAGCTGGAGATAAGGAAAAAGAGAGGGAGGGAGAAAAAGCGAACAAGAAACAAAAGAGAGTGGTGAAAGGTTACAAAGAGAACCCGAGACACAGTAAGTCGTCTAGTATTGATACGAAGTCTGTTGCTGACGATACAGATAAAGAGGGGGAGATCTTACCTGTGTCAATCAATGTTCCTGATCCTGATTTCCATAATTTTGACTTGGACAGAACTGAAAGTTCCTTTGGAGAGGAGCAAGTATGGGCTGCATATGACAATGATGATGGGATGCCTCGCTTTTATGCTCGAGTTCACAAGGTTATCTCGTTGAAGCCATTTAAGATGCGGATAAGTTGGCTTAACTCAAGAAGCAATAGTGAATTGGGTCCAATAGACTGGATTGGTTCTGGTTTTATTAAAACCTGTGGGGACTTCAGAATTGGCAAACATGAAACCACCGGCGCATTGAATGCTTTCTCGCACAAGGTCAGTTGGGCAAAAGGCACACGTGGAGCAATTCGGATATATCCAGGAAAGGGGCAAGTTTGGGCCGTTTATAAGAATTGGTCACCTGATTGGAATGAGCAAACTTCAGATGAAGTGATACATAAATATGAGATGGTGGAAGTGCTAGACGATTTTAATGAGGAACAAGGTGTTTCTGTTGCTCCTCTAATTAAGGTTGATGGTTTCAGGACAGTGTTTCGAATGCGCTCGGATCCTGAAGAGGTCAGGAGAATTCCTAAACAAGAGTTGTTCCGGTTTTCGCATCAGGTTCCTTTTTACTTGCTAACGGGCGAAGAAGCCCACAATGCTCCAAAGGGTTGTCGTGAGTTAGATCCAGCAGCCACGCCTTTGGAACTCATTCAGGTGACGAAAGAAGCTAACGAAGAGGCGGCGAAGGAGAATGGCGGAAAAGTAGCAGAACAGATGCCTCAAAGCACCCCAAGTAGAGAAACGGATGAGGTGATGGAGATTGCTCCAAAAGCGGAGGAAAAAGTGGCAACTGAAAATGGCAAACGAACCAATGATGATGATAGATAGTAATGCATGATGGGGTAGCCAGAGAACTTGATGAGGTTATGCTTAGCAAGAAACAAAGAATTTAGGGCGCAAATATCATTGAAGAAGATAGATTGATTTAAGTGGCGTTTTGATTATTTTGAGCCTAACCAAGTGTACATAACGCTTCTTCTTGCCGAATGAGGTTATGCTTAGCAAGAAACAAAGAATTTAGGGCGCAAATATCATTGAAGAAGATAGATTGATTTAAGTGGCTTTTTGATTATTTTGAGCCTAACCAAGTGTACATAACGCTTCTTCTTGCCGTCATTGTTTAGAGACGATCCAGAGCCGTTTGGGTTTTGTGGCTGTATAATGTGGGGATTGTTTAAATTTTACCTAGAGAAAGTCCATGCATGAGGTATACTGACGGTAAGTTTTGTCTTGGTTTTCTTTTTGAAGGTGAAGGGTATAGGATTAATGGCTGTTACTTGGTTAAATGTTTTGCTTCTTGTCTACTGGGATTGGATCCCCTTTGAATTAATTCAAGAACTTTGTTTTCTCCGTGTCAGATTGCTTTTTGGTATTTTGTAACAAGCCCCATTATTCTACATGTAGAATGAATTTCCTATTTGAGGGAATTTGTCTTGATCTTAAAGTTTCCATTTCATTAGGTGATTCCATGCTGATGTATGTGCAGGATGTTTGTTATGCAATGATCGATGAGAATCATATGATGAGAATCATATTATCGAGTAATCGATGATAATATATCATATTATCGAGAAAATGATAGGAGGTAATAATTAATATGATTTTTAATAAACATTTATTATCACATTTTCTTATCTGAGATTCTATTATCATGAAAATAATTTTACCGTGTTTGGATGTATAGAGTAATGCAATGTAATTATTCTTATAAAATCATTCTTAAAAAAACTATTCGTATAAAATCATTCTTAAAAAAACTATTCTTATAAAGTCAATAACTTTAAATATCTTAAAACTTATTTAAAATTCAGTAATTTTAATGCCGTATAATTTTTTTTAGAATATTATAAAAATTTAGATCGCACCCATGGTCATGGGGTTGGGCGGACGAGAGAGGCTGCAATGTAGGGTGCGGGGGTTGCGCGGCCATTTGGCGAGTATAGGCGTAAACGGTGTTTTTTTTTTTTTTTTTTTTTTCCGAATACCAAGTGGTAATTCTAGCAGGGGAAATTTTATAGTCGTGTTTATAATTGATCATGTTTTTATTTTTTATGTTTTTCGAGAAAGAAAAAATGAAAACGTTTCTAAAATGACGTTTGGCGTAATAAAGAAAAAAAACGGAAATGAAAACGATTTTTTAGTTTAGTGTAAAATGAGAGATAAATGAAAAATGACTTTTAGTCGTTTTTCATTTTTTATTTTCGTTTTCTCCTCTGTCGAGCAGAGAGAAAGAGAGAGAGATATTAATGAGTTTTTTTATATTGAAAACAATCTCTTGATAAAATTATCAAACGCATTTTCCAAAATGATTTCTGTTTGAGATTGAAAACGTTTTCATTTTCATTTTCATACAAAAAATAAAATCATTTTGGAACGAGTTCCAAACGCACCCTATATTTTTATTCTTTGTGTTTTAGGTTTATTTAAAATGTATACCTTCAGTTTTTAATCTCATCAAATGTATACCTTCAAATTATATTTAATATATGAATCTATACCTTATTTGAATTAATAATTAATTTTGATCTTTTAAATGACAAAACTATCCCCAAGAAAAGAGAGAAAAGAAACTAAAACTTTCCAACATTACAAAATATAAAAATTTAAAGCACAAAAAAAAAAACACCATTTCAATCGTATTTTGTATATTTTTTAGGTTAAAAGTGTAAGTTTAAGGTTTTTTTATTTTTTTATTCAAGGGTATTTTAAGTATTTCTAAGGTTAAAATCAAGAGTTAGCTGTGAAAAGATATAAATTTAAGTATTAAATTTAATTTAAAGATATACATTTGATGAGATCAAAAACTAAATGTATAGGTGTAGAATAAATCCAAAACGTAAGGTATAAAAAAGTAAATATCCCATTCTAGCAGCTTGGACATTAGGGGTTAGCCCATTATGGGCCCATACTCTATTCAAAGAGCCTAAACTTGCACACCCCCGCCCAAAAGAGCCTAAATCCGCAAAAACTAAGCTCATTTAAGGAAATGATCAAGTTCACTTGGCACTATTTAAATCAAATTCTAATGAATAATCTTGACAAATAATTTATAATCTTTTTATTTAAATAATTATATTAATAAAATGGTATTTATAAAGAGTAAGGAGTAAAAATTTATACTTACGGCCACTCTTAAAAATAAATTCTCCATTTTTTCAATTCCAATTAATATAAGAACAGAGCGCACATAGTACCTGTTTTGAATTACAGATGAAACCTTAACACAACCTGAAAACATTGAGAAATGCAATCCTAGTTTTCAACCGATCGCATAGCATTAATAAGATTTAAAACGAGTAATGATTCTTCTAGCATTTTTCTTTCTTTTGCATGGTCAAACATATGGTTACTTTACTTGGCCTCAATACCATGATCTTTCCCGCGAATGTTTTACAATAGGTTTTTTTTTTTTTTTTTTTTTTTTTTTTTTTTTTTTTTTTTCTGCACAATTCCCCCAGAAATTATCGTGGTTTCATAAATTATTTCTTAAATTTTTAATTTTGACAATCAACCCTCTAAACTGGTAAAATTATTACAATTTGCCCAATTTTACTAAATTTACTAAAATATTTAAATAGATTTAAGTAGGGCTGCACCAAAATATCTACAAACCACCTAACCGCTTAAGTGGGTATACGTAAAAATCGCTCTAAGCGGGTATACGTAAAAATCGCTCTTCATGCGACCGGGGCAGTTTCAATCCATGCCTAACCGCTTAAGTGGGTATACGTAAAAATCGCTCTTCATGCGACCGGGGCAGTTTCAATCCATCGTTTTTAGCGGGCAGTTGCGGATTGGGCTTTGAGACCGTGGTTTGAACTGCTGCCTTGCCCGCCTCAATATTAGTAATAAATTTTTTTTTTTTGGCGCAGCTTCAACTACATATGATCTTTAGGGACTTAAAGTTTGGATTTTTTTATAGCACTTGAATAATGAATTTTGAAATTTGGATTTGAATTTTAGAGTTTGGATGTTTCTTTATTAGGATTTGGATTTTAGAGTTTATATGTTTCTTTATTAGGATTTGGATTTTTGGACGTTGGAATTTGAATTTTGTGTTGGATTGTGTTTTTGATTTTTGAATTATGTTATGATTTTGAACTTTTAATTTTTCATTGACATACTTTGTCCAAATTATGTTTATGAGTTCATCAATAATTATTTTTCAATAGTCAATTTAGTTTTTATTGGCATACTTTGAATTTTAAAACTTTAATATAGAAAAAGTTTATAAAAAGATGGATACAAATATTAAACCGCCCAATATACCACAGAAACCGCCCGCTTAAAAAACTGCCCAAATCGTTTAAAATTTGGACAGTTATGGTTTAAAACTTTCACAAACTGGCTAAACCGCCCAAGAACCTTCCAATTCACCCGCCGTGTACCCCTAAATTTAAAAGATTAACAGTTGAGGAATTAAAAATTTGTGTTACATTTGAATTGGGATGCTAACATTTTTCATTGAAGTGTTTTTTCGACACTAATTTAACACAATCATCGTCAAAATAGCGCACATTAGAATAATTTTAAAAATTGAGGAGATAACTTGTCAAAATTAAAAGTTAAAGGAATAAGTTGCTAAAACCATACAAAATGAGAGGCAAATGTGCTAAAAACTAATATGTGTACGCAATAATAAAATGCAGCCTGATAATCTAAATGGAATCTCACCAATTTCTCAACACTTCCAATTCTAAATCAGACAAGGGGAAAAAAAACAGATAGATCTGTCTCAATGTATGACTTCTTTACCCAATATATTTAGATATATAATATAGTCTATAAATTATAAGTTAAGAAAAACAACGTATCTTCGTGGAAAGCCCCTGCATGCAAAGACTTTTCTTCTCTCTCTCTTCTGCATGGAAGGGAGAGGGAGACTCTTTAGAGCAACTCTTTAGGACTTGTTCATCATATGTATGACATGTTTGGTAGGAAAGAAAAGTAAAAGGAAGGAAGAAGGAGAAGGAATTTTGGGAGGGAAAATTAAAATGTTTGGTAGAAAGGAAATAAAATAGGATAGAAAGGAAATAAGAAAGTGATGAAAAATAACAATGATGGAAAAGAAATTGATTTTCTTTTATGTTGTTTGGTATGAGAAGATGGAAAGAAAATGAGCTTACCTTCACTTGTTTGGTATTGGAAGTTAAATTAGGAGGAAAGAAAAAATCTTACTCGTAAATTACTTTAATATCATTAAATTTTTTACTTGGATGTTGATGGAGAAAATAATAGTTTAGTAACTTTGCTCACTATAATGAGTTGTCTCCATTTTCCATCCCATTTTCTGCCCACTTGTGGGAAAAAAAAAATGGTAGGGTCCACATGTATTATTTTCCACTCCATTTTTTCTTCCTTTCTTTTTTCTCTCATACCAAACAACCTACATTTTCATTTTCCCTCCTAAAATCCCTCCACCTTCTTCCTTCCTTCTACTTTTCTTTCTTACCAAACATATCATCAAAGTCCACGGAAGTTTCATGGGCAAATTCCTTAGAGAAGGTCATGTTCAAGGAACTTATGATAATTGATAGAAGAAGAATAAATAAATAAATAAAATTAAAAGCCTGTTGTGGAATCTCATGCACATTGACATTTTCCTTAGTGAGAGAGTTAAATATATTTGCTTGGTCTATAGGTGGCACCACCTGTCCAGCTATCTGGTAGGGGTGTTTTCGTAACTTAATTCCATGGCCTTCATGTGTTTTCAATATTATTTTTTTATGTTCACACTTTGTTCCTTAGCGAATAACTAATAAAAATATCTGCCAAAGACTTATTTTAGCTATTGGTTGACATGAGAGGTTTAGTCGAACTTTCAAGTTGATGATTCATTGAGTGGTAAATTACTATTCAATCTAGGCAATCGAACTTTATAGGATTCTTGAATATAGGGACATGATGAGTAATGATTTGTATGATATATAATTTTAAATTTTCAATACAATGAATAATACTTGCTCGAAGATTTTGATGTTTTTTTTTTTATATTTTAATGGGACGGTTTGAATATGACTAAGCAATTAAGACAAATAATTAGGATCCAAATTTGTTTTTTTAGTTCCTACTGTACTTGAGTAGAATCAAATATTTTCTCCTATCAACAAATACCTTCAATTCTTTAAGTACTTGGGAATTATTTACTTATACACCATATCCATACGTACATTCTTTATTTTGGTATGGAGATTTGAAAATTAATATCCTTGTTAGTTTTATATATCACATATTTGATTTACTCTAATTAGTAGAGAATTGATGCTAGTTTTTAGTAGTTTTACCAATTTCACTAATGATCAGATTTATGGAGTCATATTATTTTTTTAACAACTTATTTATTAAATATATTCATGTGTCATGTCATGTCCTCCTACACATATAATAAAAGTTTGCATTTGAGTTTTTAACGTATGTATTACTCGTGTCAATCCTAATACGACTCATAGATATGAATTTAACCATTTCTGCTATTAGACACACCTCTTAGACATGAATTTGAGTTTTTTTCCTTATAATAGTTACGCCATTATAATTTTTTAAGGACCAAAATACCCTCCTCATCTTCCCTTAAAAAAAAAAAAATCTTACCGTGTATTACAAGTCTTTTTTTTTTTTTTTTTCATAGACAACACATAATCCCTCCACCTTCTTCCTTCCTTCTACTTTTCTTTCTTACCAAACATAGCATCAAAGTCCACGGAAGTTTCATGGGCAAATTCCTTAGAGAAGGTCATGTTCAAGGAACTTATGATAATTGATAGAAGAATAATAAATAAATAAATAAAATTAAAAGCCTGTTGTGGAATCTCATGAACATTGACATTTTCCTTAGTGAGAGAGTTAAATATATTTGCTTGGTCTATAGGTGGCACCACCTGTCCAGCTATCTGGTAGGGGTGTTTTCGTAACTTAATTCCATGGCCTTCATGTGTTTTCAATATTATTTTTTTATGTTCACACTTTGTTCCTTAGCGAATAACTAATAAAAATATCTGCCAAAGACTTATTTTAGCTATTGGTTGACATGAGAGGTTTAGTCGAACTTTCAAGTTGATGATTCATTGAGTGGTAAATTACTATTCAATCTAGGCAATCGAACTTTATAGGATTCTTGAATATAGGGACATGATGAGTAATGATTTGTATGATTTATAATTTTAAATTTTCAATACAATGAATAATACTTGCTCGAAGATTTTGATGTTTTTTTTTTTATATTTTAATGGGACGGTTTGAATATGACTAAGCAATTAAGACAAATAATTAGGATCCAAATTTGTTTTTTTAGTTCCTACTGTACTTGAGTAGAATCAAATATTTTCTCCTATCAACAAATACCTTCAATTCTTTAAGTACTTGGGAATTATTTACTTATACACCATATCCATACGTACATTCTTTATTTTGGTATGGAGATTTGAAAATTAATATCCTTGTTAGTTTTATATATCACATATTTGATTTACTCTAATTAGTAGAGAATTGATGCTAGTTTTTAGTAGTTTTACCAATTTCACTAATGATCAGATTTATGGAGTCATATTATTTTTTTAACAACTTATTTATTAAATATATTCATGTGTCATGTCATGTCCTCCTACACATATAATAAAAGTTTGCATTTGAGTTTTTAACGTATGTATTACTCGTGTCAATCCTAATACGACTCATAGATATGAATTTAACCATTTCTGCTATTAGACACACCTCTTAGACATGAATTTGAGTTTTTTTCCTTATAATAGTTACGCCATTATAATTTTTTAAGGACCAAAATACCCTCCTCATCTTCCCTTAAAAAAAAAAAAATCTTACCGTGTATTACAAGTCTTTTTTTTTTTTTTTTTCATAGACAACACATTTTAAGTACATGATAAAATGGACACATAACTTTATCATGTAAACTCATTGTTGTCACGCGTTAAAGTAGAACAAAATCAACGAATTAGAGGGACGTACTTTTTTACAAAATAATAATAATAAAGAGCTTTTTTTTTTCTTTTTCTTTTTTGATCTATAGGGGCCTATTTATGTTAGGAAAAAAAAAAACTTTTCCACAACGGAGTTTTTCAATAGGATTAAAAAAATAAATTATTAGTAGAGCTTTTTTTTTTCTTTTTCTTTTTTGATCTATAGGGGCCTATTTATGTTAGGAAAAAAAAAAACTTTTCCACAACGGAGTTTTTCAATAGGATTAAAAAAATAAATTATTAGTAGTTTTTTATTTTTTAACGGTTAAATATGTATTAAAAATTATATATTTTATAATTTTTTTAATTTAATGTGATTTTAACTAAATGTAATAGTTATAAATTAATACTACCGGTAAAGAGACATACAGAAAAAAGTACACAAAACAGTTGTCCTTAACTGGGGTTGGGGGCCTATTTTGGTCGCAAAACTCTCTAAAAAGTGTTGGGTAAAATTTTGAGAAAGTCATTAACTCATAATGTAATGGTTTTACATTCTATAAATAACCCACCTCCCCCCCCCCCTTCTCTCCCTCTCCCTCTTCTACTTTTGCTCTCTCTCTCTCTCTCTCTCTCTCATTTACACTTTCATCATTCTCATTTTCTTTCCGTTTTCTCGCTCGTTTCTCGACAGCCAAGCACTCCGTTCCCTACAAGCTCATTTCCTCTTAGACGTCCGTACCCCTCCCTCGGTAAGATAATTTGCTCTCATTTTTGCATGCTAATCATAATCTCTTTTCACTTTTTCAATTACCTGAAAAAAGATTTTTCCATACATGCATATTATATATTTATATATTTATATATTTCTCCCTTTGTGCACTCCGTATACTATTCATAGCTTTTTGTTATTCTTCTTTTCATTCGTAATCTTCTCTGATCTTAAAACTGCTTGAACTAAACTACTCTTTTTCCGGCCATTGAATTTATCTTTTAAAGAGAAATTACGGCTAATAATGTCGTTATAGAAATAATTTACTTTAAACTCGTGTTTTGTCCACTAATACATCTAAAACTATGATTTCTTTCTTCTTCTTTTTTAATTTCTTGTATTGAAAAAGAAAACACAGATAAATATATATATTTTAATTTTTAAACATAAGATTAGCGAAAAACTCCGCGAATCTAACGAGAGAAGCGGTTAGGGTCGTTGTTTTTTGACCTCCAAGCCAAGATTATAAGGTTTTCTAGACGCGATATGGCTGCGCGTGATATTCACGTTCTCTTTTTCATGATTCAATTATAGCCGTTTCCTTCACGGGCTACTTCAGCGCTTTGTTTATTTTATTCCCTTTTTTTTTCTTTTTCTGTTTTTCCTTCATTCGTGTTATATTTCTATTTCCGCTCTTGTGTAGTTGTGTGTTGCTGCTGCTCTTTACTGCGAAATGCGAATGGTCTTTTCCCGCTTTTGTAGAGGATCTCTGGTTTTGACCGTCCACGTGTTCTTTTCTGGGTAAAGTGGGGCCTACTCTTTGACTGGGCAGATGGGCCCCATTGACCATACCCAACATGTACGTTAAGAAAAAGGGGAAAACCAACCCCCTTAAGGCTAGGTCTTTCCTCACCTGTTATCATCTGTAGTAAAATCAGATTTTGGCTATATATAAATAACCCAAGTGAAGAAAAAAAAAAAAAAAAAAAAAAAAAAAAAGGAAAGGAAATTTAACTGTAGGAAAAGTCCTTTTTCTTTGTCGGTAGTAGAAACTATTCTTTTGGGCGTTGCATTAAATTTTTGGACAGTTTGGTATATATCGTACGTTACAGATTTCTAACATAATAGTTACAGTGTCACATATTAGGCTGTTAAAAAGGTAATTCAATAACTAAAATGGCATCTTCTAAAAAAAAATAATAACTAAACTAGCAGTTTTTACTTGTAGGGGAAAAAGAATAGTTCCTCAAGTAGAAGTTTCTAGAAATATATATATATATATATGATCTATTTATTGATTCTTTATATTTCAAGAGATTTAAATTGAAGCACTTTTAAAAATTTTCACTTAATTCTTTCACTCATCTTTTTTCATCTACAAATAATTATGAGCATCAAAATCCTCTCACTACTTATCTCACCTCTCTCTCTCTCCTTTCACTTTTCCCTCTATCAAATAAAAGCCGAAATAAATTGCTTTACATTCCATTTCAACTCAATCTCGCCCGTTGAATGAGAAAAGCATTTAAAATGATGAAATTCTTTTTAATGTAGAAATTGACAACAATTTATAAGATAATTGAGTTTTATTATTATTATTATTTAATTTAATGATTAGTATTTAAACTGTATGATACAACCTAATTTCTTATAATATACATACCTTAATTTTCACGCTAGATTTAACCACAAATGCATTTTTTACAACAAAAGATGAAAAGTAAAACCATCAATTAATCTAGTCGTTGTTAATTATTCATAATATTTTAAAATTTTTTTTATTGAATTTATTTATTAGACTTTTATTGAAAGAGTCTTATTTACAGTCTTCTTATTGATTTAATCATATTTGAAGCTATAGATAAAACGCATAATGTGCAACAATTATGAGTAGTTATTTGCTTTACAAAAAGGAGGGTCTTTAACTACCTAGTTTAGATCAGATCCTCCAGCAACCGACACCAAAACAAGTCGGTGGAAGATGCCACGTGTAAGGTGCAGATTCGTTTGTCCTACTCGGTTTTGCTGATGGAACCTTGAGGCTCGAACCTGAAAAGTTCATTTATAACTTAAAACTTTTTTACCTGAAAAACGGTTAAGATGTGTTTGGCGACAACTCTTCCATTATGTCAATGTACTTCAACCTAACCAAACCTTTTAAGAAAATAAAAAATAATAACGCACTAGAGAATTTTTTAAATGTAGTGTCAAATTAGTGTGTCGTGGTGGCTTAGAGCCCGTTTAGTTTGAAAATTTATTCTCTTATTCGAATCATGATTCATGATTCGTTACAGTATTTTTTTTTATAAAAAATACACGTAAATTAAAAATAATTCTAATCTTGTGGTACTAATCCATGAACAAAACGGAACTTTAGTGTTAATAAAGTATCGTTGTTGGTTTGTTATTACAAATTCGAGTATTGTATTATTCTTTAAAGTATTAAATGTGAAGATTTTAATACGTAGGCCGCGTTTGAAATTCGTTTTAAAATTATTTTATTTTTTGTATGAAAATAAAAATAAAAACGTTTTTAATCTCAAACAGAAATCATTTTTAAAAATGCGTTTGGTAGTTTTATCAAGAGATTATTTTCAGTATAAAAAAATTCAATAATATCTCTCTTTCTCTCTCTCTGCTCGAGAGAGGAGAAAACGAAAACACAAAATGAAAAACGATTAAAAGTCATTTTTCATTTCTCTCTCATTTTATACTAAATTAAAAAATCATTTTCATTTTCATTTTTTGTCTTGATTGCGCCAAATGCCGTTTTGAAAACGTTTTTATTTTTTCTCAAAAAATGTGAAAAATAAAAGCGAGATTAATTTCAAACACGGTCGTAATATCACCTCATGTATCTTTATAGTTAACACATTTAATGAGACTCAAATGATGAACCTTTAATTTTATTCATAGATTTTTATTTTAAACTGTTATATATTATATATTTTTAATTTTAATGTGATCATCTTAGTTAAATTTTAACGCTTATATGCATGCTCTTTATAATTCTTAATTTAATTAATTAGTTATCTGTGTCCACGCAAATCTAGATATCCAAAATTAAGCTTCTTCTCAATCAACCATCTTCCCTGTTTACACGTGACATCTGTCGTTTTTCTTTTTTTCCTTCTTGTCAAAGAATTGATTATGAAAAAACCCTTTTTCTCTATTCACGCACTCGAGTGGAGTTTAAGAAAGTCAAGGTTGTTTTTCGGTTACTTTCTTTTTATTGGTTAATAGTTTTGGTTACGAGACGGGTCAATTCATGGGTTTGTTAAGCCTAAATAAAGAAATATTACACGTGTTTTCCTCTCATCAGTGGGATTTCTCTCCGTTAATTCTTTAATATATAACGAGTTTTATGTTTTCCAAATGTTGTTTGGTAGAACATGCGAAACACAAAGTACAGCCTAGCTCTAATTGGTGGTCTTTGCCCTTTAATGGCGGCACTAAATTGGTATGTTTTTTTTGTAAAGATCGAGAATTTCTGGTTTTAGACCAGAAAGACAAAAAAAGTTAGTTTGTTCATACGTTGTACATCTCTGTGAGTGTGAAGATAATAAAAAAGTTTTTAAGATTATTTTGTTAAACACCAATTTTAAATAAAATATTGACTCCACTTATTAATTTTTTTCTCGTAAAACTCATTTTAAGTAATGAGGGGTATTTAAGATCGTTGGTGTCAAATAGCATTACTCACTGATTATATGCATGGCCTTTTTCAGCATTGGTTAAAATCTTTAGTGCTCTATATTTAGTGAGGAAAACGAAAGTTGCAAAGTGAAGTTTTTTTTTTTCTTTTTTTTTGTCCGTGCTTTTCGCTTTTTATTGTTTGTCGTTTTGTCTTTTTTTTTTTTCCCTCCTCATTGGAGCACTTTTGCCATGTAATGATGAAATGACATGAAATGATAAATTTGTGAGGAAGTGATGGTTAAAATCACAATGAGTTTGCCTTGGATACGTATTAGTTTTAACTTTGACTCGGAAGTCTTTAAATTATATCTTTGGTTTCAAACTTGAATCTATTTTTGTAACAAAACCCTTTTAGTAATTCAACTATATATAAATATATATATATATATATATATATATATATATTCCTTTCATGTAATGTTTTGTGTCTTTATTACTACCAAGTCGTGTTATATCCAATTGTCTTATTAATCTTGAGGGAAAACATTCATATCAAGATTTTTAGCAATTTTTAGCTGTAACTATAGTATATTTATTATACTTTCGTGGATTTTCAACTAGCTACAGCAACAAAATTTTTTGCTTTTAATTTTAAGCTTTTTCTTTGTCACGAGAAGAACACCACAACCATTATTCACAGTTATTTCTGTATAGTTAGATATGGTTATTGAAAATAAAAAAAAAAGTACGTACTACATCAAGGCAAAGAAATTTCGCAAGTTGGCTTGACAGATATATGTCTATAACGGAGTACACTTTTCTCGAAATGATTTGTGAACTTTAAAGTATAATAACTTTGAGATAATGTTGATTCCTTCACTTGGAAGTAATTAGAAGCAACCGTTGAGTCTGCCCTAGTGTGATTTGATGTTCAAATATAGTAACATAACATGCATGCATGCGTGTTACCATTAATTTCAAATCTTCTTGGGACTCCAAAAACATTTATGAACTTTGACCAAGTTTCTGTGTGCTCATTACTTTGGACCGTTATCTCCAAAAATGCTCGTTAAATTCTCCATCTTGCTACTTTGATGTTTGCTCTCATTATTGACAAACACAAGGCATACTTTTTGTACATCTATATATACAATAATAATGGACACATAGAAGAGCTAATTATATTCAACTAATGCATGTTAGTCCCGTGAGGAAGAAACCGCCAAGTAGCAATATTTTTAATTGAAGTTCCGTATACTAATAAGCTTTCTTAAATCACATGAAATAATGACATTTTGTTTTACATAATATTATAATCTATTTTCATGTTACATGCTAATTCAGTTGGAAGAGTTAGAATATTATTAAGGTAAGGTGGTGGAGCCCGGACTAACCAACTACGTATATACATATATGTATGTATGTATGTATGTATGTATGCATGTATTTGTTATGATGTATATGTCTTTATAATAATATCACATGACCAGCTCATCTATCTGTCTCATCCGAGTCAGGGTGATTAAGACTCTATTAAGACAAAACACCTTTCTTAATCGCCATGTAATTTTGACTCATCAGATCTAGATTATTCACTAATATATTCCATTTTCTTGGTTTCTTATTGTTACTTTGTACTGTGTAGCGGTACTTTTTTTAACAAAATCTTTCCACTGTTGAAAATGACTCTCTCTTTGAATAATTATGTGATCCGAGGGCTAAAGGAAACTACATTTCACAATACACATGTTAAACTATGGTTGAATAGGTGGCGCTTGAAAGTGACTAGCTAGCTAAACAGAAATTAGTTTTAGAGTGATAACTAACTATATGCATATATAACTAACTAAAGTGACAATGATGTTTCACTATTAATCTTTAAATATTTCCTTATTAAATTTAACTCTTGACATTGATTTGTTCCTCTAGATTGTTTCTTACTTTTACAAGTGGAAGTTGTACCACCGACATATGTACTTGATATGTCAACTGATTGACAAATCTTTACATTTCACATAACAAATGGGGTCTGGCTTTTTGGCAAAACCCTTGTCTGGTTTTTGGCAAAACCCTTGTCTGGTTTTTGGCAAAACCCTTAGTCTGGTTTTCGGCCCTACTACTGCCCCCTCTGGCCTTATTTTCAATTATTTTATTTTTGACAAAACCAACTTTGTCAAAAGAAAAAAAAAAAATTTTGAAGAACTAGAAAACGAAATTCAGGTCTTTTTTTATTTTATTATTTTCCTAGCTTTGAACATTTGTATTGTTCCTACATGTGCACGTATAAAGGACAATTCTATAAGAGACAATACCTACCAAAATACGTGTTTTAAATATTTATATTTTTTTAAATTACGTGTTTTAATTGCTATGAGAATCAAATGAAAATCTTACAATTGATAGTGATAAATTGATAATCAAAAACCAATAGTAGACGGATATTGGTGTGTTTCGTTGCCTATAGAGATAGCGTCCTTAACCACAACAAATTAATGAAACATTTATAATTGAAACACAAATTTTATTGTCAATTATTTTATTGTGGTCGTTCAACAACCAATAATAGTGACTACTACTCTTTCTCATAACATTTGTATACCAAATAAAATATCTTATATCTTAAAAAAAAAAAAAACGAAGAAATTAGTTTGGGGCTCTCCAAGTTTGTCTCTAGTTCTTTTACTCTAAAAGTCAAGTATTTGTTTTGGCTCCCACTTGCCTCCGCTCTTTTATGGAAATCAAATAAATTTTGCTCAGCTATTCTTGTTTTCTAGTTGGTTAATTAATATAGTCAAAGTTAAAACTTTAAAGGGTAGGTCTCATTTCTTTTTCTCTTGCAGGCTTTCCTAGCTAAAATAAGTTCTGAAGCACAGAAAATTATAAACAAAAACAAATATATATAGCTACCTCAACCCGTCGAAGAAACTTTTAGGTACACTTTTCTCCACTCTCTCTCTCTCTCTCTCTCTCTCTCTATATATATAAATATATACACACACACATATACACATATACATATATATATATATATATAATATTTTTTCTGAATATAAAGGACTAAGAGTGATATTTGTTCTTTTCATGATTCATGATCTTAATTCATAGTCTCAAGTTATTCAGAAAAAAAAAAGAAAATCATAGTCTCAAGTTGCATCTTTCACTTGTAATTCCTGCCTAATTCTAAGGGGGAAAAAAGAAAATATAGATCTTCACTTGTAAAAAAAAAATAAAATAAAAAATAAAAAAAGGGAGAAAGAGGGAAATAGGCCAAGACTTGAGATGAATTAAAATTAATAGGCCAATAGTTTACATAAGTTAATAAATAGGCCAAATTACTGTTTTCGTCCATAACTAGTCTGGTTATGAATCATAACTTGACAAGTTATTATCCATAATTGTCCATAACTTGTCTGGCTATGAACCATAACTTGACAAGTTTATTCATAACTTATCTGGTTATGAACCATAACTTGACAAGTTATGACCTATTAATTTTTATAACTAAAAATTGACTTATATACTTTCTTAAATTTTTCATATTGGTCTATTTTCTACTATTTTTCTAAAAAAAACTCGGAAGCCCAATGTGACTTTGGGCTTACAAATGTAACAAAAACTTTGGCTACCCAACCCAACAAACCTCATATAGTATTTATGAAACTATATACTAAATTTGACAATTTGTCCAAGAGCAGGCACACATGGGACGCCCAAAACCCCCTACCAATAAACAAAAGGCCCAGCCCAACCCAAAACAAAGGAACGACGAGAACAGTGGAGATTGCTTTGTTACATCAATAACGGCCAATCTTAGACCTCTTTCCTCATATTCAAGTTATAATTCATGGATGGTAATTTCTTCTCTTTATATATCCATGCATAGCCCTACAAGCATTATATATCTACCATACAATGTGTATGTGTGTGTGTGTGTATATATACATATATATATATAAGAGTATGGTGTGTGTGTTTAATATTTATAAAATAAATACATTTGTTCTTAAGCTGTTGCCTAATTTAATTTATTTTATTTATTTTTGGTGGGTGAATTGGATAACAATAATTAGTCGGAGCACCCTTGTGCATTGAGGTCATTTGATCGGATGATGAAATCAGCAAAGGGAAATAGGA